AAACTAGCAAAGCAGGCCAATATTCAAGTCCAGGAAATACAGAGAACACTACAGAGATACTCCTCAAGAAGAGCAACCCCGAGGCACATAATCGTCATATTCACCAGGGTTGAAATGAAGGAGAAAATGCTTAGGGCAGCCAGAGAGAAAGGTCAGGTTACCCACAAAGGGAAGCCCATCAGACTTACAGCACATCTCTCAGCAGAAACACTATGAGCCAGAAGAGAGTGGGGGCCAATATTCAACATCCTTAAACAAAAGAACTTTCAACCCAGAATTACATATCCAGCCAAACTAAGCTTCCTAAGTGAAAGAAAAATAAAATTCTTTGTGAACAAGCAAGTACTCAGAGATTTCATCACCACCAGGCCTACTTTACAGGAGCTCCTGAAAGAGACTCTACACATAGAAAGGAACAACCAATACCAGCCACTGCAAAAATAAACCAAAGGTAAAGAGCATCAACACAATGAAGAATCTATATCAACTAATGGGCAAAACGGTCAGCTAGCATCAAAACGGCAGTATCAAATTCACACATAAAAATATTAACTCTAAATGTAAATGAATTAAATGCCCCAATCAAAAGACACAGACTGGCAAATTGGATAAAAAGCCAAAACCCATCAGTAATTCTCGTCTCTGATAAGATAGACTTTAAAGCAACAAAGATCAAAAGAAACAAAGAAGGACACTACATAATGGTAAAAGGATCAATGCAACAAGAAGAGCTAACACTACTAAATATATATGCACCCAATACTGGAGCACGCAGATACATAAGGCAAGTTCTTAATGACTTACAAAGAGACTTAGACTCCCACACAATAATAGTGGGAGACTTTAACACCCCATTGTCAATATTAGACAGATCAACCAGACAGAAAATTAACAAGGATATCCAGGACTTGAACTCAGACCTGGAACAAGCAAACCTAATAGACATTTACAGAACTCTCCACCCCAATTACACAGAATATACATTCTTCTCGGCACCACATCACACCTACTCTAAAATTGACCACATAATTGGAAGCAAATCTCTCCTCAGCAAATGCAAAAGAACAGAAATCATAACAAACAGTCTCTTAGACCACAGTGCAATCGAGTTAGAACTCAAAATTCAGAAACTAACTCAGAACCGTGCAGCCTCATGGAAAATGAACAACTGGCTTTTGAATGTTGACTGGATAAACAATGAAATGAAGGCAGAAATAAAGACATTATTTGAAACCAATGAGAATGAAGACACAACATACCAGAATCTCTGGGACACATTTAAAGCAGTCTCTAGAGGAAAATATATAGCAATGAGTGCCCACATAAGAAGAAAGGAGAGATCTAAAATTGACACCCTATCATCAAAATTGAAAGAGCTAGAGGAGCAAGATAAAAAAAAACTCAAAACCTAGCAGAAGACAGGAAATAACTAAGATCAGAGCAGAAATGAAGGAGATAGAGACACAAAAAACTCTTCAAAAAAATCAAGAAATCCAGGAGCTGGTTTTTCGAAAAGATCAACAAAATAGACAGACCACTAGCCACATTAATAAAAAGGAAAAGAAAGAATAACCAAATTGATGCAATAAAAAATGATAAAGGGGAGATCACCACAGATTCCACAGAAATTCAAACCATCATCAGAGATTATTACAAACAACTCTATGCACATAAACTAGTAAACCTGGGAGAAATGGATAAATTCCTGGACACTTGCCTCCTCCCAAGCCTAAACCAGGAAGAAGTCAAAACCCTGAATAGACCAATAACAAGGTCTGAAGTTGAGGTAGCAATTAAGAGCCTACCACCCAAAAAAAGCCCAGGTCCAGATGGATTCACAGCTGAATTCTACCAGACATACAAAGAGGAGCTGGTACCATTCCTTCTGAAACTATTCCAAATAATCCAAAAAGAGGGAATCCTTCCCAACTCATTTTATGAGACCAACATCATCTTGATACCAAAACTTGGCAGAGACTCAACAAGAAAAGAAAACTTCAGGCCAATATCCATGATGAACATAGATGCAAAAATCTTCAATAAAATACTGGCAAGCCAATTGCAACAGCACATCAAAAAGCTTATCCACCATGATCAAGTAGGATTCATCCCAGGGATGCAAGGCTGGTTCAACACACGCAAGTCCATAAACGTAATTCACCACATAAACAGAACCAAAGACAAAAACCACATAATTATCTCAATTGATGCAGAGAAGGCCTTTGACAAAATTCAACAGCCCTTTATGCTAAAAACCCTCAATAAACTAGATATTGATGGAATGTATCTCAAAATAATAAAAGCTATTTATGACAAACCTACAGCCAGTATCATACTGAATGAGCAAAAACTGGAAGCATTCCCTTTGAAATCTGGCACTAGACAAGGATGCCTTCTCTCACCACTCCTATTCAATATAGTACTGGAAGTTCTAGCCAGAGCAATCAGGCAAGAAAAAGAAATAAAGGGTATTCAAATAGGAAAGGAGGAAGTCAAATTGTCTCTATTTGCAAATGACATGATTGAATATCTAGAAGACCCCATTGCCTCCACCCAGAGTCTCCTGAAACTGATAAGCAACTTGAACAAAGTCTCAGGATACAAAATCAATGTGCAAAAATCACAAGCCTTCCTATACACCAATAACAGACTTAAAGAGAGCCAAATCAAGCATGAACTGCCATTCACAATTGCTACAAAGAGAATAAAATACCTAGGAATGCAGCTAACAAGGAAAGTATAGGACCTCTTCAAGGAGAACTACAAACCACTGCTCAACAAAATAAGAGAGGACATAAACAGATGAAAAAATATTCCATGTTCATGGTTAGGAAGAATCAATATCGTGTAAATGGCCATATTGCCCAAAGTGATTTACAGATTCAATGCTATCCCCATCAAGCTACCAATGACCTTCTTTACAGAAGTGGAAAAAAAACACCTTAAACTTCATATGGAACCAAAAGAGAGTCTGCATAGCCAAGTCAATTTTAAGCAAAAAGAACAAAGCGGGAGGCCTCACATTACTGGACTTCAAACTATACTACAAGGTTACAGTATTCAAAACAGCATGGTACTGGTACCAAAACAGAGATATAGACCAATGGAACAGAACAGAGACCTCGGAGGCAACACAACATATCTACAACCATCTGCTCTTTGACAAACCAAACAAAAACAAGCAATGGGGAAAGGATTCCCTGTTTAATAAATGGTGTTGGGAAAACTGGCTAGCCATGTGCAGAAAGCAGAAAGTGGACCCCTTCCTGACACCTTACACTAAAATTAACTCCAGATGGATTAAAGACTTAAACATAAGACCTAACACCATAAAAACCCTAGAAGAAAATCCAGGCAAAACCATTCAGGACATAGGCGTAGGCAAGGACTTCATGACAAAAACACCAAAAGCATTGGCAACAAAAGCCAAAATAGACAAATGGGACCTAATCAAACTCCACAGCTTCTGCATGGCAAAAGAAACAGTCATTAGAGTGAATCAGCAACCAGCAGAATGGGAAAAAATTTTTGCAGTTTACCCATCTGACAAAGGGCTGATATCCAGAATTTACAAAGAACTAAGACAGGTTTACAAGAAAAAAACAAACAAGCCCATTCAAAAGTGGACAAAGGATATGAACAGACACTTTACAAAAGAAGACATACATGAGGCCAACAAACATGAAAAAATGCTCATAATCACTGGTCATCAGAGAAATGCAAATCAAAACCACATTGAGATACCATCTCATGCCAGTTAGAATGGCGATCATTAAAAAATCTGGAGACAACAGATGCTGGAGAGGATGTGGAGAAATAGGAACCCTTTTACACTATTAGTGGGAGTGTAAATTAGTTCAACCATTGTAGAAGACAGTGTGGCAATTCCTCAAGGACCTAGAAATAGAAATTCCATTTGATCCAGCAATCCCATTACTGGGCATATATCCAAAGGATTACAAATCGTTCTACTATAAGAACACGTGCACACAAATGTTCATTGCAGCACTGTTTACAATAGCAAAGACCTGGAACCAACCCAAATGCCCATCAATGATAGACTGGACAGGGAAAATGTGGCACACATACACCATGGAATACTATGCAGCCATCAAAAACGATGAGTTATTGTCCTTTGTAGGGACATGGATGAACCTGGAAACCATCATTCTCAGCAAACTGACACAAGAGCAGAAAATCAAACACCACATGTTCTCACTCATAGGCAGGTGTTGAACAATGAGAACACGTGGACACAGGGAGGGGAGCACTACACACTGGGGTCTGTTGGGGGGAAACAGGGGAGGGAGAGCAGGGGGTGGGGAGTTGGGGAGAGATAGCGTGGGGAGAAATGCCAGATATAGGTGATAGGGAAGAAGGCAGCAAATCACACTGCCACGTGTGTACCTATGCAACAATCTTGCACGTTCTTCACATGTACCCCAAAACAAAAAATGCAATAAAAAAAAGTTTATCTCATAGAAATGCTTATCAGAGGCTGGGGTGGTTGTGGCGGTGGGAGTTGGGTAGACGTTAGTCAAAGGATATATCATTACAACTAGGAAATTTATTCAAGAGATCTATTGTATAGTATGGTGACCATAGTTAATGAGATGGATTGCATCCTTGAAAAACATAGAGTATGTGTTCTCACCAGAAAAAATGACCATATGAGGCAATCCATTTGTTAATTAGCTAGACACAGCCATTCACATACATATTCTTCAAAGCATCATGCTGTACATGATAAGTACATACAGTTTCATCTGTCAATTTCAAAAGTAAAAAAGGATGAAATTAAGCATTATTTAATACATGGACTGACAATTGCACATCTACATAATACACATATATTGGGGGCACACATACACATTTTCTACTGATAGGGATGTAAGATCAAAGCAAGCTCAGAGACCTGTGGTTTTTTATAGGCCTTCAGAAATGATGCAGCCACCTCAAAGGCTAAATGGCAGCATGCTGGCTATTTCCGAGTACTATACCTTCACAATGTGGGAATCCAATCTGTGACAAAATCTGTTTCAAGGTCAATTTGTTGCTCTTAAGCCCATGCAGTTGAAGCCATGTCTCAGATGAAATGAGCCTCTGCTCAGCCAAGTCTGTTTTGGTGTTACTCCATCCCTCTTGCCTCTGCAGCTGCTGCTCAGAGATGGTAGAAGATGAGCCTGATTTCTCCATCTCTGGATCAAGATCTAAGTCACAGCAACCTCCTGTAAGGGCAATTATAAACTCAGATTTCCTGAAAACTTGGAAATAATCTAACGCCAACAGAGGACTGGCTTAACATAAATTACAGTACACTCATGAAGTGGAATTCTATTTATCAGTTAAAATTATAGATGGATATTTGGTAGAAAAGAGAATAATCACATGAATTGCTAAGTGGTATCCATAAAGTTCAGTATTCAAATGTATATATATACAAAAACATCTAGGAAGATAGACCACGACAGGTTTAGAGTAGTTTTTTCTGTGTGGTGGTAGTATGTGTGGTTTTTGCCTTTTCTATATTGTTGAAATTTTTGCATTATTTCAATATTTCTAAAATGGGATTTACTTCTTTTTTTCTTGAGAGAGAGTCTTGCTCTGTCACCCAGGCTGGAGTACAGTGGCATGATCTTGGCTCACGGCAACCTCTGCCTCCCAGGTTCAAGTGATGCTCCTGCCTCAGCCTCCTGAGTGGCTAGGATTACAGAAGCATGCCACCACGCCTGGCTAATTTTTTGTATTTTTAGTAGAGACAGGGTTTCACCAGGTTGGTCAGGCTGGTCTCGAATTCCTGCCCTTGTGATCCGCCCACCTTGGCCTCCCAAAATGCTGGGATTGTAGGCATAAGCTACCACACCCGGCCAGGATTTATTTTCATAATCAGAAAACTACAAAGCTCTTCCATTTTGGAAAAAAATAATCACTTGCCCCAGAACCTTCACCACATATCTATATTCCAATTACAATCACACCTCACTGCTCCCAATGGGGATGAGAAGGATAAAACCCTGATAGGTTTTACCTGTCGAACAGGTGTAGTGGTTAATTGGGAGCTGGTGGCAGCTGGGAACCAGAGCACAGCTCAGCCCAGCTGGAATATATGTATCCACTTTCTGAATGTTTTATTGCCTGGGGCTTTGCTCTACAATTGGACTTAAGCATTGTGGCCCACGTAGCCATCTGTTCTGGGATCAGCTGGACCCAAGGCCATATGTAACATATTAAGCATATCTAGACCTGTCTAAATATAGCTAGTGTGTGCAACAGGAAAGGATGGGGCCAAACTATAATGCAATCTTAACCCGCTCCCCACAACTGGGCAGGTGACCTGGAGGAAGTGTAGAAAGTTCTGCTTACTTCCGTATCCAGAGTTCTCAATGCACGTAAACCGATACCCTGAATTGTAAAACTTTTAACAATGAAAACATGTTCTTGCCCTATTTCTAAAACTTTAACTGTATTTCCTAAAAGTTTCACTGTCAGGACATGAAAATTCAGTCAAACACAAAAATCAGTTGGACCAAGTCAGGGAGGTTTTATACAAAGAAGTTAGAAGTATCATTAGCAAGCACTTATTTAACATCATGTTATGTGCAATTTACATTTAATCCTTATAATAACCTTAGGAGGCATGTACTACTCTTCGTTTCATTTTACAGATGAGGAAACCGATACAGAGAGGGGTTAATTAACTTGTCCGCAATCTCACAACTAGTAAGAGCTGGAGTTGAGATTCTACACCAGGCCATTCAGCTTCATGGTCTGCGTTTTGTGATCTTTAGTATAATAGAAGCAATGCAGCTACTTCCATTTGTTGGTACTTTTATACGCTCTAGCTCACAACTTCTTCATAACAGTATCAGTTACTCATTATTAACACCACTTACATTTGAGGAATCGGAAGCTTTGAGGATTTAAAGAATTTGCTCACAGGTTCTGCCACAGCAACTAAGTGAGAAAAGCAGGAGTCAAAGCCACTTCTTAACCACTCTGCTTTCCTTACAATTAACCTCCTCCAGCCAGGTCTTACGGGACAAGACAATCTGCTTTCCAGTAGGACTGCATTCTCATAGGGCCCCAGGTCCTCATCAGAATGCTAATCTTTATTCTCAAAGCTCAGACTCAGTAAGTTTCTTGGCTTATCACTCTCAAGCTTTTAAAGATAATGAGGCTGGGTGCAGTGGCTCATGCCTGTAATCTCAGCACGTTGGGAAGATTGCTTGAGTCCAGGGGTTCAAGACTCCCCTGAGCAACATAGTGGAGAACTCATCTCTACTAACTGATTTTTTTAATTAGCCAAGTGTAGTGATGCTGTAGTCCCAGCTACTCAAGAGGCTGAAGCAGGAGGGTTGCTTAAGCACAGTAGTTCAAGGTTGCAGTGAGCTCTAATTGCACCACTGCGCTCCAGCCTGGGCAGCAGAGTGAGACCTTGTCTTTGAAAAATTAAGATAATTTCCATTTCAAGGTTTATGTGAATTTGTATTGTCCACATATGTTGAGTTACAAAGGTATACAAATTATTATTATTGGTGAAGATTTGGCCTTCTTTCTACAAAGGCTCAATTTTTGATGAGAATGTTACAATATTATTTGGAAAGCATCATGTAGGAGTGGAAAAGTTTAGAATCAAAACTCAGTATAAACCCATTCTGCCACTTTAAGGTGATTCCACCTCTCTAGGATAGTGATACCACCTGCACACCCTAACTGCCAGGGCTATTCAAGGAACAGCTGTGCTGATGTATAAGTTATGCATAAGCATTTTACATATTGGAAACAGCTCTGTACAAATAAATGATCTAAAAGTCATGGTTCCTTAGTCATTGTATTTTGTTTCATAGACCCACTTTCATCCCAAGCACTTTTTTAACCCCAAGCCTCCAATCATATTGAGCTAGAAAGTTTAGAATCACAGAACATGAAAATGAGGGCAGACTAATATGCTTCAACTTTCTTTTGAGGATCTTTCCACAAAGAATGGAGCTGAAAATATTTTAAATTTGGTTGGTTGTTCCAAGAAACCAGAAAGGGAAACTCAGAAGAAATTTTTTTTTAACTATTTCATCATTTCAGTTAATTTTGCTCTTCCCTGAAACACACTCACCTCCTACAATATTCTTGCTGATGGGAGTACTAGGTTTAAAAGGGAGCACTTTTACATAAACTGCCCTAATAAGATTTTGTAAAGTGGATTTTGGAACCTTAAGGAGGAGTTCAGAGGAGTCACAGGTGTTGTTTTTAAGCTAAAGGGACACGTTTTTGATCTCAAACAAAAGGCAATCAAAAATTCTCCAGCATTGCTAAGGTGCATGCCCCAGTCCCTTTTGTACTTATATGACTTTTTAAAAAATTAATTAAAAAAATTAATTTTAAAAAGTGGAGGCGTGGAGGTGGGAATTGGCTCTACTGGATCTAAGAACCTGAATGGTTCAGTTTGATTCAGGTCTCTTACCTCTAGGGTTTTGTAGCCTGAGAATATGTGTATTGTCTGAAATGAAAGCAACCAGAAAAAAAAAAAAAAAAAGGAAGTAAAGGGGGAACGGGAGAAAAGGCGTCTCTCAACAGAAGGAATCGTTCCACTCAAGCGGGATAGGAACTATTCTGCCAGAGCAAGGAAGCCTGCTGAGAGCAGGGACCTAACAAAGTAACCCCCTTCTCCCCACTGCACCCCCAGTAGCTCACCTGCTTTCCCACCTCCATGCTGGCCTCAGATGGCTCTCCTATTTGGACTCCTAGCCTGCAATGCTCGTTTCAAATGCTGCCTCCACCATTAATCCTCCCCAGAACTCCTTAGCAATCTTCCGCAGCCCCTCCCTAGGAAAACTCTAACTTTTGCTTTGATATATCATCACTGTGGTCTTGGGCACTTCAGGCTTGTCCTAGCTAGACTTAAAGATGGTTCAGCTCACGCCTGTAATCCCAGCACTTTGGGAGGTTGAGGTGGGTGGATCACCTGAGGTTGGGAGTTCAAGACCAGCCTGACCAAAGTGGAGAAACCCCATCTCTACTAAAAACACAAAATTAGCTGAGCATGGTGGCACATGCCTGTAATTCCAGCTACTTGGGAGGCTGAGGAAGAGAATCACTTGAACCTGGGAGGCAGAGGTTGCAGTAGCCAAGATCTCACCATTTAACTCCAGCCTGGGCAACAAGAATGAAATTCCATCTCAAATAAATAAATAAATAAGACAGTTCAATGACTACAGAGACAAACTACAGGAAGATTCTCAGCACAGGGCCTCATACCCAGCAGGCACTTTGTGTGAGCTGAGGTGAATACAACTGATCACTCAGATTTACTGAGAGAATCCTGATTTTGTTCAAAGAAGGCAAATATTCACAGTGTTAATAAGACTAATATCAAGAAATAGCTCTTTTAAAAAAGGGATATATTGACTGTTCGCGGTGGCTCACACCTGTAATCCCAGCACTTTGGGAGGCCAAGGTGGGTGGATCACCTGGAGTCAGGATTTCAAGACCAGCCTGGCCAACATGATGAAACCCCATCTCTACTAAAAAATACAAAATTTAGCCAGGTATAGGAACATACGCATGTAATCCCAGCTACTAGGGAGGCTGAGACAGGAGAATTGCTTGAATCCAGGGAGCGGAGGTTGCCGTGAGCCGAGATCGTGCCACCGTTTTCCAACCTGGGCCACAGAGTGAGATGCTATCTCAGAAAAAAATAAAGGCGATATATTATTTTCTGGATAAAACTATACTATTTATTTACTTATTTACTGTTATTCAGAGTTTCCTCAGCTGAGGTTATTATAAATTAGGGAACCAAGGAACCCAGAAGTTGGAAACAACATAACAACATACCCAAGTTGAACACTGCCCTAAGTTGTTTGTTGTTGTTGTTGTTGTTGTTGTTGTTGTTGTTTTTGAGACAGACTCACTCTGTCACCAGGCACCAGGCTGGGGCACAGTGGCACAATCTCAGCCCACTGCAACCTCTGCCTCCCGGGTTCAAGCAATTCTCCTGCCTCAGCCTCCCGAGTAGCTGGGACTACAGGCACATGCCACCACCCCCAGCTAATTTTTATATTTTTAGTAGAGACAGGGTTTTACCATGTTAGCCAGGATGGTCTCGATCTCTTGACCTCGTGATCCACCTTTCTCGGCCTCCCAAAGTGCTGGGATTACAGGCGTGATCCACCACGCCTGGCTGCCCTAAGATTTTGTTTCTTTTCTTTTTTTTTTTTTTTTTTTTTGAGACAGAGTCTCACTTTGTTGTTGCCCAGGCTGTAGTGCAATGACGCGATCTTGGCCCACTGCAATCTCCACCTCATAGGTTCAAGCAATTCTCCTGCCTCAGCCTCCCAAGTAGCTGGGATCACAGGCATGTGCCACCACGGTCGGCTAATATTTGTATTTTTAGTAGAGACAGGGTTTCGTCATGTTGGCCAGGCTGGTCTTGAACTCCTGACCTCAGGTGATCCTCCTGCCTCAGCCTCCCAAAGTGCTGAGATTACAAACATAAGCCACCATGCCAGGCCAGCATTGCCTTAAGTTTTAAAGGCCATCCCAAGAACCATACAGAGTTTGGGGAAATAGGAAAGTGTTTCCTTAGAAGAAGAAGGAAATGTAAAAGGAAAAACAAAGAAGAGAAAGTCTGAGCTGAAGATGTGAGCAGGCAAAGCTTTGGGGAAAATAGAAAGATTAAGCTGGCAACAGTCCAAGGGCCTCAGCTACCTGAAACGGATGTTCCTGGGCTGCCCTGGGCTAGTCTTGTGAAGTCGTCATGCCCTTAGAGAAAAGGCCGTACGTGCTCGGAGGTTCAGGGACAGTGCTGGGTTTAGAGTCCATTAATCCAGTTTAGACATTCAGTAAGCTTCTAGCTACTTTATTATCAACACCTTAAATTTCCTATATCCCTGTTAGTTTCTGAAAGAGAAGTCTGGGCTAGGTGGATATCTCTCGTGATTTAAGTGAATTTGTGAACGATGATTGTTCCAAGAAGAAAGGAAATTGGGACAAAGCTCCATGATGCATCCTGATGCAACTGTTCCCCTGAAAACCTTAAATCTCCTCCCATTTCTTCTGCCTTTAAGAGACAAGTCTTGGTTGTGATCATTGGCTCAAATAATGTGGACAGAGACAAAGATATTGAAATGGACTGTCCCACGGTTGAGAAAATAGTCAAGAAGAGAAAATCCGAGACTACTTGGAGTGCTTTAGGAGGGAAGGTCATTGCTGAGAAGAAACGGAGAGCTTCCAAGAAAATGAAAGGTAAAGCTCTACCAAATAGAAACCTAAACCTACGTATTAAGTGTTATTCCCATAAAAGACGGGTGAGAGAAAGTGATATGATTGTGAAACCATGTAAGTGTGGAATGGGAGGGAGCCAGAGGCCTTTCCAGGACAGAAAGTTGTGGGGAGCTTTATTGCAAGCAGGTAACTTTGACTTTTAGACTATACATATTCATCATTATGTACAGAAAATGTGTTTCTTCTGGTTCCTGTGTTCCCCCCAAAGCCCAGGTGGACTTCATCTTAAACTGCTGGCCTGTGGCATAGACAGAAACTAGGAAACCCGCTTCTCCACGAGAGCAGCTGGGCGTGGGCTGGGCTGAGGTGCGACGGAAAGAGCTCTAGAGTAAGAGAGGTCAGTACCTTGACCCTCGGCTTGACCCGGCTAGCGGACGGTTAAGTGGGCCAGGGCAAGTCACCGAGCTTTCCTGGTACTAAGTGGGCATGTAGTCCAGTTCGGAGATGGCATCCTTCCAACACTTCCCTAGGCGGCTTGTTGGAAGGCTGGGCACCTCCGCGGCTCTGGCGCGGCAGGGATCGCTCCCACACTTACTAGGCAATATGTCCGGTGGAAGACGAAGCGGTTCCCGCTCAGGAGCTACCCTCCCATCTTCCCGGGCCCTCCTGGCCCGAGAGGGCGGGAGAGGTAAGCATCCCGCTGGTGGAGAAGGCAGCGATTCCGGGCGAAGGTTGCGCGCCGGAGGCGAAGGATTCCAGCAGTTCGAGGTCTCTGTGACCCGCGCTTCTGTTTCTCAGCTCGGCCAGTTGACGACGGCGTCTTCGCGGTTCCCTGGACACGGCCAATCACAGCGCGCCTCCCGGAGCCGGCCCCGCCCACAAAGCGCGCCCTCCGTTGGGGGCGCTGGCTGGGGAACCCCGGGCCGAGGAGGCGGGGCGCCGAGGTCGTCGGTGAGTCAGGTACGGAAAGCTGGGATCCAGCACCACCCGGGCCGGGACGACTTTCACTACCGACTTCCAAGTAGAGGCCACGCTAGAGGGACAGAGCGGATGGCCTTGCCCCTGCGCCTACTGTCAGTGGGAAAATTAAAAACAGCGGAGAATATGAATGAATGAATGATGAATTGTGAAACCATGTAAGTGTGGAATGGGAGGGAGCCAGAGGCCTTTCCAGGACGGAAAGTTGTGGGGAGCTTTATTGCAAGCAGATAACTTTGACTTTTAGACTATACATATTCATCATTATTTCTACTCCGATGAGCCGGAGTAGAAAGCCAGGGTGCTAATAGATGGAGGAGGAAGGAGGCAGAGGCAGAGGAGAAGCCAGGGGACTGCAGGGAACGCTACAAACGAACTTCTGTTCGTACTTTTCAACGTGCAGAGTATGGACCCCTGCGTAGTTTTAATTTTCACCTCAGCACTGGGAGGCGACGCTCTCTTCCTTGCGCAGTTCAGGGAAAGAAGCTTTAAAAGAGGTGGGGCAGTTCGTTGTAGCTCAGACACTGGACGTGGGCGGAGCTGAGACAGACGGGAGGGCCAGCGAGCTGCAATTTTGCAATTGTGGAGGCAGGGGCTGCATTTGCCAAGAATATTCTTACATGTTTGACATGACTATTCCTATAGACATTATTTTCTCCATTCAGCTTTGTTTTCAACCTTTGTTTCACTGTTACCTTATTAAGTAAACAAAAGGCTCTCCAGTCACTAGGAAATAAAATTGTGCTTATGAAAAGCATCTTTAAAAATCTTAATGAAAGATCCCACACTAAGTATTGTTTTTAGGGTATTGGGATAGTAAACGATTTTACATTTTAAAATTAAAGAACCGACCAGTTCATTTGCAGGTTTTTCAGTCAAAGATCTGATAAAACACAGTTAATGTTAGAACTGAGTAATTCTGTCCCCAAAATAAAAGTCTGCTTCATCGACAGAGATTTATTTCCCCTGCATTCTTTTAATGCCTCTATCATTTAAAAAGTACTGAAAGATTTGATTCCATATCACAAATCATTCCTGGCAGTTATTAGATCATATGTGATTTGGCCCTGCAAATGAAACCTTCCATCCATACCACCAAAAACCAAACAAAAGCTTGATAGTACTGAAGACTTTTCAGAAGGGAGTAGTACACCAACTTCACCCACATTTATTAATCCTTGCTGTCCACACCCGGCCACACTAATATTCCTGGGTCACGGGGGTGAGATAGAGCACACAGCAACACACAGCCAAATGCCCTGCCTCACATGGTCATGCCAGGCACTCCTGTTCCCACCTTCACCCCTTGCCTACTCCTTTCCCTGGAACACCTGCCACGTACGTGCAAGTCGCCAAGATGATCTGTCCCTGTCTTTGATGTTTATGTGCCTATAAGCATACATTCTGATGAAAATGTTAAATATTACTTACTTAAATTGTAGAATGATAAGTGAGGAGAAGTTTAAGTTCATTTTGAAGCATTACATAGTTGATGTGGACTTCAGTTCAGCTAGTTACGGAATTAGTTCAGCTAGTTATTTGAAATAAGGAAACCTTTAGCACAGTGGTGATATACTATTATACTGAACTTTTGACACATTTGTTTTGAATTTACATTTTTACAGATAATTTGTATCTTTCCTTCAACCTCAATAATTGACATTGATCAAATCACTGTCATCCTTGATGTCAAACCTCTGGACTTTACCTTTCAGGGCTCAGATTTTACTTTCAGATTTCTTGCTCATTGCCTCCAACACAAACCCCCATCCCAGAGAGACCTGCCTGGTCCCTGCCTCTGAGCAGATGCCTTTGCTCAGGCCACCCAGATTGCCACCGTTTGGGAACCATAGTCCCTTCAGGGTCAGGTCTAGCTTTTCTCTCTCTCCCCCAAAGCCTTCCCATGGATACTGCAGCCCTAATAACTTCTCTCCACCAATCTCCAGTCTCAAAGCATAGCTTGCCAGTACCACACTCTTGTCAACCATGTACAAACCTTTGACAAGCTTTTCATTGTTATTTGACCTTTGTGCTGTTTACTTTTCAGGTTGAATGGGTTTCCTTTTCTTTATACAAGTCTATCACTGCCATGGCTTGGGCTTATGGCCATGATCAGAACATTTGGCAGGGGAGGGAGGGTGATAAGAAAATGAAGGAAGGAAAAGCAATTTTCCTAAGCCCACTGCAAAAACTAGAACCAGAGGAAATGGATAATGTTAACTCAGGGGAATTGTATTTATGTGTGAGAAAGAACCTGAGATGGAATTAAAACAGAGGCACTCCCTCTGAAGAGGAAGGAGGAATTGAGGGAGTGAGGCAGTTAAATCAGGAAGCAGTTCTTGCTGAACCTTTGTTAGCTCTTGCAGCGAAGGGAGTTTTGGCCATTAGGGACAGCTTTGGGGGAAATGAGTGGGGACAGAGATCAGACAGGTTTGTCTGTGCTGTGATGTTCCTGAGTTCAGCATTTGTTACTTGGAAGAGTGAATGCAGGCTTGTGGCTCTCAATCTAACATCTTTCATGAAAAACAGAACTTGTTTTCTACCCTTGGCAAAGCGTTCACTTTTACTAGAATGATTTAATACTTAATCATAGCTAAAATGTATTGAATGTCAGACCATGTTCTAAGCGCTTTAAATATGTTCCATCATTTAATACTTAGAAAGCTCCATGAGGGAGACATCATAATTATCTCCATTTCCTAGATAAGTAAACTGAGACAGAATATTAAGCTACTTCTCCAAGGCCACTCAGCTAGTGGTTCTGGAATTTGAACCTAGGCAGCCTGACTCCACCCCTTGCCCTGTTAATTATATGCTGTGTTGATCAACTGCTGGATTCAGTTTTCTCCAAAAGGAAATTTCTGTCATCTCAGTCATACAGTGTTCATTTAGTGCTGGATATTAATGACACAATGAAGTCCTCAATGGATTTAAATATTTAAATGGGTTTTTAACGGAACATATTTCAATTTTAAATGTCATTAAGCAGGTCTGTTTTTAAATTACTCTCTCTGGCAGAGCACAGTGGCTCACACCTGTAATCCCAGCACTTTGGGAGGCCCAGGTGGGTGGATCACCTGAGGTCAGGGGTTCAAGACCAGCCTGGCCAACATGGTGAAATCCTGTCTCTACAAAAATACAAAAATTAGCTGCACATGATGGCAGGTGCCTATAATCCCAGCTACTCGAGAGGCTGAGGCAGGAGAAACACTTGAACCTGGGAGGCAGAGGTTCCAGTGAACCTGCATTGCGCCATTGCACTCCAGCCTGGGTGACACAGTGAGACTCTGTCTCAAAACAAAAAAAAATTTACCCTTCCCACCCACTCTTCCTGTTAACCATTGGCTTTGTAAGGTGGCATTATTTTTAAAATGAGCTGGCTGCCTTGTAGGCTGCTAACATATCCCAACAGCAAATTAAGAAGAACTGAACAACAATATTTTATATAAACAAAAACTCTCAAACAGTTGGAAATTGAAATCACTTTTCAAAATAGATATTGATACTAAAACCTAGCAAAGGCAATAGTCTTAGGATGATATTTTGATCTTACGGGAATGAGATCAGGAATGGACTCAGTCTTGCCTTGGCGTGGCCATCGTCCTTCTGCAGTTCCTGAAGATGAGTAGCATGATAGACAATGGCAGAAGGTGATAAGGAATTTCCTGACTTTAAGTGATTCTAACTCTAGTAAAGGGTGACCTGGCTATGTTGGCACAGAACTTGGGCACTAGTGTGGAGCCTTTCTCCCTTCTAAACACAGATCTTTCGACCAGCTCCTTGTCAAGACTACGAGGGTGAATGTGTAACACTGCTTATGCAGGAAGAAGAGAAATGAGAGGGTCTGTCCATAATAAGAGATCAGCAGTTTGTCTGTCCTCCTTTCTCCCTGAGAAAGAGCGAAGTACCAAGGAGAGGGCCACACAGGGGTTTATAGCTCATAAATTTGGCACCATCATCACCCTGTAATCTCATCCAATTATATCACTGTTCCCCTTTCTTGAGGAGTGAAGAAGAAGGAGGAAAGAGAAAAAGAATTTAACATTAGAAGAATTAGAACATTCGCACTGATTAATATAATTGTAAAAATCCTAGATAAAAAAAAAATTGAATTCAATGGAATATGTTTGAAAGAATAATTTTTTTAAATTTGTTAAAGTACATACCTTTCTGCCAAGCAATGTCATTTCTAGGTTTCCTAGAAAACACACAGAAGTGTTTTTATCATTGCAGAATAATGGAAAGCATCTAACAAGAAGGGTGTAGTTAAAATTATGCTGTATTTGTATCGTGAAATGGTAACATTTTAAAATAAAAAGGTAAACTTCTTCATAATAGTATACAAATGTCTCCAAGATATATTAAGTATTTTCTTAAAGTTGCAGAGGTCGGGCACAGTGGCTCACGTCTGTAATCCCAGCACTCTGGAAGGCTGAGGCAGGCGGGTCACGAGGTCAAGAGATCGAGACCATCCTGGCCAACATGGTGAAACCCTGTCTCTACTAAAAATACAAAAATTATCTGGGTGTGGTGGCGTGCGCCTATAGTCCTAGCCTCTTGGGAGGCTGAGGCAGGAGAACTGCTTGAACCTGGGAAGCGGAGGTTGCAGTCAGCCGAGATCATGCCACTGCACTCCAGCCTGGTGCCTGGCGACAGAGCAAGACTCTGCCTCAAAATAAATAAATAAATAAATAAAGTAATTAATTAATATAAAATAAAAAATAAATACATAAACAAAATAAAATAAAAGTTGCAGAACATATGTACAGGCCATTGCATTCTACATCAACACATACACACAATTATATTGATGTATTCATATGCTTATTTCTACTCACAGCCCATTGGCCAAAAGAAGTCAC